CCACCCTGTGAGGTAGGTGAGGTTGAGGTCAAGGTGGAGTTCGAACGTGGGGGTCCCCCAGACACTAGTTCAGCGCCCTTAGCCACTACAGGGCATTAGGCAAAAGCAGAGATTTTTTTTTTTAAGTATTTTATTTAGACAGGGTCTCCAAGACAGCAAACATCAAGCATTCAAATACTTATGCGCATGAGCAACCATTCCATCCCCCAACCCCCAGTCAAGGATGCTTCCTTCTACTATTTCCTGATCCGGCCACCAGCCCCCCACCCTCACCCCCAATTTGAACCACCCCTTCCGATCTGAGGGATTCTAAGTCTCCCAAAATCCTACCTCCTTCGCCTTGACTCCATCTGCACAGCTCCACCTCCAGAGATGGGATAGAACAAAATTTCCCTAGTAGCTCATCTGCCCAACAGTTTTCTAACCCCCACCACCAAAAAGCTGGAGAAAGACCAGAGAGAGAGAGACTCCTAAAAAGTCCAGGCAATCCTCCCCTTCCCACAGAAGCAAGCGGTCTTTTCGCCGATAGAGGAAGTTACCAAACTGTTCGAAGACTTCTGGGCTGAATCTGGAGCCGAGGCTCAATTCCAAGCCCCCCCCCTCTGCCTCCGGAATGCCACCCCCGTACCATCTCACCTCCAGCTTCATCAGACCCAGAAACCAACTTCCTGGTCGTCTCCGACAGAAAGGCCGAGAGAGCCTGAGAGGAGCCGGCAGGATCAGCGACAACACCGTGCCCTTCCCCCTTCAGTCTCATCACGCTCCCACGGGAGACCGGCGCGAGAGAAACAAGCCTCTCCCCTTTATCTAGCGTCCGACCACTGGATCGGGACCTCCCAGTCGTTACTCAAGAGCAGTGTTCCCTCTGAGCTGTGTTAGTGTGAGCTAGCTCAGAGCTTTTTAGCCTACGGCTCACACATTTTTGTCTTAGCTCAGGGAGGACGGCTCCAGAACAAACTAATTTATGCAGCAGCCAAACTGCTGGCTCACAACTTTAATGCCGGTAGCTCACAAAGTAGAAACCTTGCTCACAAGACTCCACAGCTTAGAGGGAACATTGCTCAAGAGTCCCTCAGCAAGTTAATTCGTGCCCCAGCATCCCCCCTTACCGTGTAGGGGTGTGAAAGCTGGACAGCGAAGAAAGCTGACAGGAAGAAGGTCTATTTGTTTGGAATGTGGTGCTGGAGGAGAGTTTTACAGATACTGGGGACCGCCCCAAAAGGCAAATCAGTGGGTTTCTAGATCAAATCGAGCCTGACCTCTCCCTAGATGCTGTTGGGGCTATCGGACTTTGGTCACATGATGAGAAGACAAGAGTCACTGGAAAAGACAATAATGCTAGGAAAAGCTGAAGGCAGCAGGAAAAGAGGAAGACCTGACATGAGATGGATCGACCCAAACAAGGAAGCCACAAGGGGCCCCCGCCTGCAAGACCTGCGCAAGGCTGTTAACAGTAGGATGTTTCAGAGGTCATTAATTCCTACGGTCGCCATAAGTCGGGACAGTACTTCACACACACACACACACACACACTTTAGCACAAAATGACCTGCCACCTTCATGCTCCAGCATTTTCCACGAAGAGCCCCCAGTATGGGATGAGTCAGTTTAAATAGTGGAACTCCCCACCAGGAATCCCAGCTTCGTAAGGCAACCAAGATGCCTTCCCAACACACCGTCTCTGTGCCCACAGATCTCATAAGAACATAAGAGACGCCAATGTTGGATCAGGCCAAAGACCCATACAGTCCAACACTCTGTGTCACACAGTGGCCAGAAATACCAGCGCCATCAGGAGGTCCACCAGTGGGGCCAGGACATTAGAAGCCCTCCCACTGTTGACCCCCCCCCCAAGCACCAAGAAGACAGAGCATCACTTGCCCCAGAGTCCCTATCTATACCTTGTGGCTAATATCCACTGATGGACCTCTGCTCCCTTCTCCCTTCTCATTCCTGTTTTTGGAGATGTTTCCTGGATCCTGGAGGCTCTCCTCCTCGGCCTATAGGGTAGCTCACCTTCACCAAGCTTGGGGTGGGAATGGGAATCTTTTGTTATCGCTCGAACACCTGGCTCCTCCAGAGCAACAGCTTAGACTCTCAGTCTGTAAATCGTACCTGCTTGCTGTGTGCCCTCCCTTGCTGTATGCGTTGAGCACATCACCCCCTGCCAAGTTCAGCCCCAGCCTCTGAGATCTGTGCTTTGCTTGCATGTGCCGGCAGGAAACTCTGCAACTGCACTGTATTCGGCTCCCCGCAATGGGGGGGGGGGGCCTGGTCCCAACAAGCTTTGGTGTAAGGTTGCCAGGTAATCTCTGGCCACGGGCAGGGGTTGTGATCAGTGTTCCCTCTGAGTTAGTGTGTTAGTGTGAGCTAGCTCAGAGTTTTTTAGCTTCCGGCTCACGCATTTTTGTCTTAGCTCAGGAAGGAGGGCTCCAGAGCAAACTAATTTACGCAGTAGCCAAGTCGCTCGCTCACAATTTTAATGCCAGTAATTCACAAAGTAGGATTTTTGCTCACAAGACTCCATGGCTGAGAGGGAACATTGGTTGGGAGGTAGGATTGCCTGATCCAGGTTGGGAAACTCTTGGGAGATTTGGGAATGGAGACTGGAGCGGACAGGGGCCTCGGTGGGGTACAAGGCCATGGAATCCACCCTCCAAAGCATCCCTTTTCTCCAGGGGAACGGACCACTGTAGTCTGGAGATGACCTGTAATTCCGGGGGATCCCCAGGGCCCCCCCCTGGAGGCTGGCACTTTGGTGTCTCTGCTACCTGTCTCCTGAAATATCTTTTGGATTACTGCCTATCTGAATGTTTACGTATCTACTTAGATGTTTCCCCACCCCATCTCACCCACCACGGACCCAAAGCAGCTTACAAGATTGATCTCCCCTTGCTCTTTTATCCTCATAACCACCCCCCTGAGAAGAGGGTTAGGGTGAAAGACAGCAACGGGGCCCAGAGTGACCCAGTAACTCTATGGCAGAGTGAAGTTGAACCCGGGTCTCCCATATCTTAGTCCAAAACCCCTAAACTACTACGCCACTCTGGCTGTCCCTGGTGGGGAAACACGGACCCTTTTTGAACTTACGTAGATAGGCAACTGCTTTGACCAACCTAGCAGTTCGAAAGCAAGAAATTGCAAGTAGATAAATCGGTACCGCTTCAGTGGGAAGGTAACAGCGTTCCATGTGCCTTGGTGTTTAGTCATGTCGGCCACATGACCACGGAAATGTCTTCGGACAGTGCTGGCTCTTCGGCTTTGAAACGGAGATGAGCACCGCAACCCTAGAGTCGGATTCGACTGGCTTTCGAGCAAGGGCACCTTTACCTTTACCTTTGACCTGGATAGTCCAGGCTAGCCTGATCTCATCAGATCTCAGAAGCTGAGCAGGGTCAGCCCCAATCAGTATTTGGGTAGGAGACCATCAAGCAGTACCAGAGTGATGTGGAGGCTGGCAGTGGCAAACCACCTCTAAACATCTCTTTCCTTGAAAACCCCCACCAGCTTTGTTGTTGTTGTTCAGTCGCACAGTCGAGTCCGACTCTTCGCGACCCCATGGACCAGATCACGCCAGGCCCAGGCTAGCCTGATCTCATCAGATCTCAGAAGCTGAGCAGGGTCGGCCCCAGTCAGTATTTGGATAGGGTTAGGGTTCAAGCGATACCAGAGTGATGTGGAGGTCGGCAGTGGCAAACCACACCTCTGAACATCTCTTTCCTTGAAAACCCCACCAGCTTTGATTCAACGGCAAAAAAGATAGGTAACTATAACCGGTGTTCCCTCTAAGCTGAGTTAGTGTGAGCTAGCTCACAGCTTCTTAGCCTCCGGCGCACAGATTTTTGCCTTCGCTCCAGAGCCATTCAATTTCATGTTCGTTGCATCCATGACACTGTCTAACCATCTCATCCTTTGCCGTCCCCGTCTCCTTTGACCTTCAATCTTCAAACCAGCTTTGATTCAATGGCAAAAAAGATAGGTAACTATAACCTAGCTTTTTTCTCATCTTCCCTCTTTAAGGCATCCAAATACACATTAACCGGATTGTGTGTGTGGTTTGGAGTGTATTTAGAGTATTTCTGTGCCACACTCTAAATATCAAAACATTAAAGACACAAACCATTCTGGGGGGGGGGAAACAAAAATCTATCGTTGATACCATTATATTCCAGCTCTCAGTGCTGTTTCCAAACTTGTGGGAGGAGCCTGTCAAACAGTCCCTCAGTGACTCTTAGATTGGTCTTAGCCCAAACTGGGCCCGCACCTTTAAGCAAAGGGCAATATTCAAGCCAACAACTTGCAGAAGTGACGATCAATGTCCCCTCTAAACTGTAGAGCCTTGTGAGCAAGGCCTCCATAGTGCCAAGCTGGGTCCAAACCAGAAAGTGGTCCCCGGTCACACGGATACAGGTCCGTCTGGTCACACCAGTCATACCCATTGATGTGGCACTCAGATTATGGCATGCGGAACGTTCCTCTTGTTTTCAGTGCCTACCCCTCACGTGACGTCCTGGGCAATCACACGGGAAGTCTCATCAAACCAGAGCCACCAATGACTAGTTTTTGTGCAGTGACTGCATCGTCGTTCAAGAAATAAATTGGAGGGGACAGACTCGACTTTCCCCTTCTGGCCCCATCTCTGCCTCCAATGAGACTGTTTACAAACGAAGGAGTCTTGGGGCCCTTTGTAATTTTGGTCAGCCTGAGTGGCTCGAGTCAGCACGGTATCTCCCGCCACCCCAACCGCATATCGGAAGAATCCACAGCAGGAGCTGAATAGAAGGCTTAAATTATGTCCTTTGGTCTAAGTGTGCTCTGAGTGCACGAACAAACTTGCCGCCAAACAGATCACAACTCTCCTTTCCGGTTATCCCTCTGTGCTTTGAATATATGTATATCGTTTGGTCAGCCTGAGTGGCTCGAGTCAGCATGGTATCTCCCGCCACCCCAACCGCATATCGGAAGAATCCACAGCACGAACAAACTTGCCGCCAAACAGTTCACAACTCTCCTTTCCGGTTATTCCTCTGTGCTTTGAATATATGTATATCGTTACCAGGGTCGTAGTGCACCTCCCGGACGGAAAATATCCCTTTCAACATCGTCAAGAAGTTCTGGTCCCGCTCGTACCGCAGGCGGCAAGACAGCAGGATCACGGTGTGGTCCGCGCTCAGGTGGTCCAGTGTCTGAAGAAGATCCGCAAACGTTTCTTCCAGGTAAACGATGTCTGCGCCCAAGATGAAGTCATATTCTCCCGTAGAGAAGCTCGCCAAGTTTTGCCCCCAAGTCAGTTCTTTTACTTCGGCTCTCGGCTGGAGGTCCGTGGGTAAATTCGCTTGTACGTTTGACTTGAGAAATGCCAAGGCGGCTTCTCTGTCTGTGATTGTCACTTGAGCACCTAATGGACAAAGGAGAAGGAGGAGAAGAAGAGTGAAACATATAATAATAAATCACTAGACTCCAGCACAATTTTCATAACTCAATGATTACTTTCCAATAAAACATTTACAGAAACACCAGGAAGCCTTGGAAGCATTTCCAGCATTTGTAAACTGGCATTCAGAATCGTTATTTTTATCAATTGCCACTGACAGGTGATGTTGTTCTGCCGAACTATTCAAAGCAACGAATATTCAGATATTCAGAAGAAGGTAAAGCCCAATCACACTTCTGTATCTTTCCAACCTTTCATTTTTATGCTAACCCCAAATCTTCCTACTTAAACTCAGAGAAGCATAGCATTAAATAAATTATAGCTGGAAGCCAGTATACAACTGTGACACTGTCCAAAAAGCTTCTGCGGCTGCTGTATTAAAAGTTGCAGCAATCTCTATAAGAGGATTACGAAGTAAGCATTTATTACATCCTCAGCTAAACAGGAGGGGAGGGGCAGTGGCTCACTGGCAGAACCTCTGCTTGGCGTGCAGAAGGTCCCAGGTTCAATCCTCAGTGTCTCCAGTTTAAAGGACCAGGCAGCAGGTGATGCGAAAGACCTCTACCAGAGACTCCGGAGAGCCGCTGCCGGTCTGAGCAGACAATACTGACCTTGATGGACCCAGGGTCTGATTCAGGATAAGGCAGTTTCGTGTAAAAACAGGATGTCGCCATCTTCTGAATATCCTAGCTTTGACAATGTTCGCTAGCTACCTGTCATATCATTATAATTTTATAGTATCCTGCTATAAAAATTATGAACTTGCGCTATCATTTTGATTTCCTGTTCCCTCTAGTACATTTTTGTACCTCTTTCCCCCCCCCCCCCCCCCCCCCCGCAGCTTACACGGTTGTCTCTTTTACCTAGCCACAAAACAGAAGCAAAACTTCTACCAAAACTCTGGATGCAGACGGCCGATGGGCTGGGTCCCACCATACAACAGTGGGAAGTTTCGCTCAGCACACTTACGTTTGCACAAGATCTACTGTAAGATCCGAGTGCTGATTTTTCACTTCCAGTCAGTGCTGCTCCGTGCAAAGATCTAAAGGCTATTTGATCTAGTCCTTAACAATCCAGTTTGGCGGTGCCGTGTGATGTGAATGAAGATGGTTATTGTCAGGGGCAGGGTGTTGCTAAAATCAACCTCGCACCCTGCCCTGGCCAAGCGGAAACACGAGTGGGAACTTCAGGTTGTTCGGAATGCGGCTGCCAGGTTGATTCACTATGGCTTGCACATACCCAGCCCCTTTTGGGGCAACTGCACTGGCTTCCAATTGGTTTCTGGGTCAAATTCACCTTTAAAGCCCTAAACCGTCTGGGACTGTCATGCCTAAAGGACCACCGCTCCCATTATGAGCCCCCGGCGTTGTCTTTGTTCTGCTGCCCGTGGGCTTTTGGTAGTGCCTGGCCCACGATTCACCCGTTTGACTGCAACAAGGGCCAGAGCCTTTTCCATCATGGCCCCAACCTGGTAGAATGCTTTGTCTGAGGAGACTCGGGCCTTGCAGGACATGTCTACGTTCCTCAGGGCACGTAAGTCAGTTATTCCTCCAGGCATTCAGCTAATGTAATTTTGGTGGACTCTACCATCAACGCTGCCGCTGATTTTTATGCCAAAAGCATTAGTTTGCTATGTTTTTGTTGTTCAGTCGCACAGTCGAGTCCGACTCTTCACGACCCCATGGTCCAGATCACGCCAGGCCTTCCGGTCTTCCGCTGTCCTCTGAAGTTTGCTCAACTTCATGTTTGTTGCATCTATGACACAGTCTAACCATCTCATCCTTTGCCGTCCCCGTCTTCTTTGACCTTCAATCTTTCCCAGCATCAGGGTCTTCTCCAGTGAGTGCTCCCTTCTCATTTGGTGGCCAAAGTATTTGAGCTTCAGTTTCATTATCTGGCCTTCCAGGGAACAGTCAGGGTTGATTTTTTGCTGAGTCTTTAATTCAAAGTTATTGAAATTGTGGCTTCATTTTGTTATGCTATTGCTTTGCTATGTTGTTAGCTGCACCAAGCCCCATTCTGAGGAAGGAGTGGGATAATCAAATCAATCATTAAAATAAAGTAAGATGTGGTCAAACTGTCTTAGCACAAAGGCCCCTTTGCAGTAACCCGCATGTTTCTGTGGAACCCAAACTGCACCCACTGTCAGGTACTTTTGAGACTTGTCATGGAAGACTACTGATAAATGCCAAACAGAACTGAAGGTTGCAAAATCAGCACGTGGTTCTTGGAAAACAGTGAGGAAAGAAAGTGAATGTTGTGAAGAACCCGAGTCTTGGAAAGGGCTGGGAACTAAGGTCACCCCCAAACATCCAACCTCGGTCAAATGGGCACTTATCATACCAAATTTTGTGGCTTTGTGAGATTAGAGAGGGTGGGCACGCCAATCTCCCTTGTGGGAGGGTGTTAGCTGACGGTCGGACGTCCTGGTCGAGGCTTGGAAGGCGAAATAGCTTCTCGGCTACGAAAGAATCCCTGCAATGGATGTTCCGGCCAGGTGGTGGCAGTGTGGCGATTGACATACGGTCCTGAAGCCTGGCCAACACGCAGCCATGTGGAAAACAACGGAGCCAAGCCAGAAGACGTCTATACCGGGCAGTGATGGCGCGTGCAATTAAAAAATGAATATATGTTGTCTTCCCTATCCCCTACAAACATTGTTAGTCCCTTGTCTATATTGAGTTCGAGCGGGATACAAGCCGAAAGCATAAATAAATAAATAAATAAATAAATAACTGTACACTGCTTTGAGCCCAGTGGGGAAAGCGATTAATAAATGGAAAGTATTATTATTATTATTATTATTATTATTAGGAGCCAGTTTGACTGAGAGGCAGTGTGAGCGCAAAGTCCCACAGAGAAGCTCCTTAGCCTTGTCGGCTGGATGATGAAATCAGGTTAGCCACATCAGGGCCAGATACTCCATATAGGAAGAACTCACCAAGTAACGCCGCTACGATTCCTAGCAAGCCAGTTCCCGCTCCTAATTCAATTACTGAGCGCCCTCGGAGGTCCACGTCTCCCATCTCCAAGTACGTACAAAGGACTACAGCCTGGGCCAGGAGAAAAGAAGCAGCTAATTAAAAGGAAGCTTAAAGTGTCATGACACCAGCCCACAGCATTTCCCACACAGATCACAAGAGATGCTCACAAAAAGGCTGACAACACTTAAGAGACACCTTCACGGGACATCCGGACGCCGGGAGATCTCAAGTTTGTTCCTGAGTGCCATGGAGATAACTCTTACCTGCTTCCCATACTTAATATCTTCTCCTCCTGAAATTGCAAACTCCGGTATTCCCCCCCACACACACACCTTTTAAATAAGTGATAAATTTGTGAAGTTGCCCTCTAGGCACCCTGATGCACCTCACAAAGTGTTGTTTGGCTTGCAAAAGAGAAGCGGGGAAAGGCAGGAGAGAACACCCGGTTTAGCTTCTGCTAAAATAAATTAGTAGAGGAAATTAGTAGAGGTTCTAGGTGAATGAGTGTGTAATAATTTAAGTTCCAGTGGCAATGCCCTGACCTGGATGGCCCAGGCTAGCCTCATCAGATCTCGGAAGCTAAGCAGGGTCAGCCCTGGCTGGTACCTGGATGTGGCAACTCCCAAGGAACACCAAGGGAGTGATGCAGAGGCAGGCAATGGCAAACCACTTCCAAAACATCTCTTGCCTTGAAAACAAGTCTAGCTCACCACCTAGTGGTGCATGATGCTGAAAGAGCTAGAACTTTCAGCTGCCAGACAATCTTAGGATCTCCTCGCTATATTACACACAATGCCATACGATAATTACTAAATTCTAGTGACAATCTAGGCAAAGCTGGAGAATGACCACGAAGTTGAGGACACCTGAAGCAGCCTTACACTGAGTCAGACCAATGGCCCATCAAGGTCCCATCACCTGATCTTCTTACCTGAAGCAGCAGCAGTAGGAAAGGAAAAGGGAAGGACGGTTGTGCAATAGAAATATTAAGTAAGTGGTCAAGTCAAGTACTATGTAATCTGAAAAGTTTCTATAGAAATTTGGTATCCATTCTTTAGTGGAAGGCAATATGTTTGAATCTGACCTGGATGGCCCAGGCTGGCCTGATCTCGTCAGATCTCGGAAGCTAAGCAGGGTCGGCCCTGGTCAGTGTTTGGATGGGACGTGGAGGTAGGCAGTGGCAAACCACCTCTGAACATCTCTTGCCTTGAAAACCCTACAGGGTTGCCATAAGTCAGCTGTGACTTGACGGCCGTTTCCACCGCCACCAATTCATTTGAAAGGTCTCATCCAATTCCCTTAAACCCCCTCTGGGATGCACACACACACCCCTCTGTACTCCTGAGCCCAACAAGAACCACGCCTGCTGCCCTTTGAAGACAGTCCAACACAAGTTCACTCGATTGCCACCTACCGCGTCCCAGACCACAGCGGCCACCCCAAACTGCTTCCAATTCTGCTTGATCTGGATTGTGTGGTTGGCGAAAGAGAACACCGAGGACGGCTTGTGCAGCTTCTGCATCCCCCCAAGATGGGTCTCGTCGTAAGGAACCAGGGCCATCTTCTGCCACTTGCAAGCCAGGGGAAGCTACAAGGTCCAAAAAGAAGGCCTCATGAAGCACCAAAGACTGGCATCTGACCTGGTTCTGTCCTCTCCCTGGCATTTATTCTGCCTGCTCACTTGCTCCACCCCAAGGCCTCAGAGCCTGCAACTAACAGCACATTGACACTAAGAGACTTTGTCATCAGTGCTTTTAGAGGCTGAATCCAGGCAGATAGGAATTATTGAACAGCTCCAAACTTATTCAGTTCTTTAAAGATGATGTATCTGACAATGCCACTTCAAGGTTAGAAATATTAAATTCTACTGGTTTATTGCTTCTTCAAGGATTTAGCTAAATGTAGGTAAGATCTAGGGTCTACCATAATCCAGTTTCTCTCACAGAGCTCTCTTAATGCCCACACTGCCTGAAAAGTCTATCGTTTGTGTGCCCTCACAACAGCCCTGCGAGGAAGGCTGTCAGTATTCCAGTTTTACAGACATAGCATGCTTCTTGCCCCATGGCCCCCTAATCCAGTTTCAAACCATTGTCTGCTGTACACAATTCAGTTTCTCTGCCACTGCAATATGTAGCGTCAATGCAGACTGAGTCACTGTAAATCGTAAGCAATTTACATTACATAAGAACATAAGAAAAGCCAATGTTGGATCAGGCCAATGGCCCATTCAGTCCAACACGCTGTGTCACACAGTGGCCAGAAATACCAGGTGCCATCAGGAAGTCCAGCAGTGGGGCCAGGACACTAGGAGTCCTCCCACAGTTGCCTCCCCCTCAAGCACCAGGAATACAGAGCATCACTTGCCCCAGACTGAGAGTTCCTATCTATACCTTGTGGCTAATACCCACTGATGGATCTCTGCTCCATATGTTTATCTAATTCCCTCTTGAAGCTGTCCATGCTTGTAGCCGCCACCACCTCCTGTGGCAATGAATTCCATGTGTTAATCACTCTTTGGGTGAAGAAGTACTTCCTTTTATCTGTTCTAACCTGACTGCTCAGCAATTTCATTGAGTGCCCACGAGTTCTTGTATTGTGAGAAAGGGAGAAAAGTATTCCCATGCATAATCTTATAAACCTCGATCATGTCACCCCCTCAGCCGTCGTTACATTATTCTTTGTATATATTATACTATCTCTACTGAATTTTTTCACGCTTTTGAAATCCAGCTCAGCTACGTAGTCTGTATGCCATATACGCTATTGCTTTGAGGGCATTGTTCTCCAATTTTGCAATCCAGCTGCCTTCCCTGTTGCCTGGGTGTTTCATACTGCTCTTATTGCATTGCTTTAATTACATAATCCACCTTGAGGCTCAGCAAAAAATGGCAGGCTGTAAATGAAGTAATAAATATGTAAATGTTACAGATCTGCACAGCAATAATATCCAGGCTTGTCTCAGAAACAAATGCCGATCATACTTTTTAATGCCGCCCTGAGCCTGCCTTGGCAGGGAGGGCGGGGTAAAAGTTCAATAAATAAATAATAAATAAATAATGGCCTTTATAGAACATTCTTTCAGCAAGTCATTCTCCCCTTAACTAGAGCTCTGCATAAAAACCCCTGATGTCACAGCGTCAGAAAGAGGGGGAAAGACCAGGTTTCCTCATCACAATGGTGCCCGTTGCCAAAGTTTCCATTGTTGGATACCGGTGGTCTTTCAACCCATGTACCAGACTATTAGGAAAGCCATAAACCTCATAGAACACCCACACTTTTTTTTGGGGGGGGGCTGCATTTGGGAAGGACCAGCTGCTAGACAAAGGTGCCACAAATTCTTCCTCGACTGGTGAGAAAAGGACAGGAAGAAGATTCCTCCTCAGCACCTCATGTGGAGTTTGGATTATGTTACTTACTCCCCAGTTCTCTTGTTCTACTGCCCACTATCCTAGCTTTGACACAGGTGAGACAGACATCACAATTCTGGTTCCCCGTTTTCCCTTCACATCCCTGTGTGTCCTACACTGCCACCTCAGAGCCAGTCTGGTGTAGTGGTTAGAAGCGCATACTCTAATCTGGGAGAACCGGGCTTCATTCCCCACTCCTCCACATGCAGCTGCTGGTGTGACCTTGGGTCAGTCATAAGTTTCTTTCAGAGCTGTTCTCTCAAGGGCAGCTCTCGGGAGACCGCTCTCAGCCCCACCTACCTCACAGGGTGTCTGTTGTGGGGAAGGGGATTGTAAACCGCTCTGAGAGTCCTTCAGGTAGTGAAGGGTGGGGTATAAATCCAATCTCTCCTCTCTGTTCACCAGGGGGTTATGGACAAGTCTTAATTGAAGGAGCTTTCTTTAAAAATGTGTGGACTTATTTGACGATTATCCTCACATTAAGCTAAAAATAGAGCACTGCATTCACATAAAACTGTACCATACTACAAGGATACAAACACAACCACCATTTGTTTTGTGTGTGTCCCCTCCCCCCCATAATGCTGTTTTATGGGGAGGCAGGGTTGCCAGGATCCCCCTAACCGAGGATGGAGGCGAAGGGTTGCCAGGCCCAGGCTGAGAAACGGGGATGGAGCCTGGATAGGACAGGGACCTCAGTGGGGTATAATGACATAAAAACATCCATTTTTCTCCAAAGGAACTGATCTCTGTAGTCTGGAGATGGGCTGTAATTCCAGGGGATCGCCGAGTCCCACCTGGAGGCTGGCATCCCTATGGGGAAGAGAGTCGAGCTCTCACAATTATGTTCATGGGTTGCCAACCTCCAGGTGGTGCCTGGAGATCTGCTATTGCAACTTATCTCCCTGCTTTGGAAGGTGAACTCTATTGCATTATATCACACCGAAGTCCCTCCCCAAATCCTGCCCTCTCTAGGCTCCACCCCCCAAAATCTCCAGGCGTTTCCCAACGGGGAGCTGGTGGCAACCCTATCTCACAACATCCCTGTGAGGCAGGCTGTCAGCAATGTAATCTTAGGGGTGTGCGTGAGCTCCCTTTAAATGGGGCGCAGAGATCAGAGGCTGAGCGCATGTGGAGGGTGGTAAGAACTGTCTCCTTTGCTAAAAACCCTTCAAGTGCCTCGTGCGGGACCAGCGCCTGCCTGCCTCCCTCCTCCCTCCGTCTCGGCCCCCGCGGCTAGGATACCAGGCAGGCAGGCCGAGCTCCTTTCTCCTGCTTGCTCACGCGCCGCGCCCCGCCCAAACGATCCTCCGCCCGCTCGCTCGCTCGCTCGCCCCGTGGGAAAAAGAAAAGCGTGTTAGACGGGAGAGCCCGAGCGCCTGGGGAAACCTGGGGTGCGCTTCCGGTAACAAAAAAAAACCCGGAAGTCACTATCTTCCAGGATTCTATAAGTGCCTTTCTACCCTACGCCGCCTCTATGGTGAAAGGCCCCGCCGGAGCAAACCAAGTTCCGTTTCATACCGGAAGTACCCCTCGAGACGGCGCCGAGAAGCGGCTCCCGCTGGCCGTGTTGACGTCAGTGGCAACAGGGTAGGGGTTTTCCGGCGCAGGCTCTAGAGCGGGCTTGACGCCCCCTGCCGGCTGCTCCGTGGCGCAGCGTACTATAGAGGGCGCTCGTGTCGCCAACCTGCACAGGTGAGGGAAGGTGAATTGGCGGCCGCGCGCAGTGTAGGCGCAGGCGGCTCGGCGAAATCTGCGCGCTTATTTCTTCATGCTGAGGCGCAGCGGGGGCTAGTTGACGAAATAATTTCATTTTGCAGACGGGTTTTTTTAAAAATACGTAAAGCCGCGATGGTTTTATGCAGTACGTGTTGGTGTCAAACCTATCTTTTATCGTCTCTCTGCTCAAAGTGCCCAGGGAGGTGTGAAATCTTATTTAAAGATATAATTCAAATATTTAAAATCAGCACCAAAATCAGTCCTACGCACACCTGGAGGAGGCCTGGACCACTTCTGGCTTCGGAGGTCTGCCTAGCCTAGGGTTACTGGATGTCGTTTTTTAAAAACGTCCGTCCTCTTTTGGGCTCTTTTTGGGGAGAAAAAAACCTGTTGAAAATGTCCTCTTTTTGGGTTGGAAGGTTATGAATATTCCTAGTTAGTAACAATTATCACAGCTTAAATAGTACGGGGAATTTAAAATGAGATTTGTCATAGTGATCACTTGTTTGATATAGTAATTTGGGAAACATGTCCTTTTCTGCTTTTCGAAAAATGGTAACCTGTCCCGACTTGGATAGTCCAGCCAAGCCTGATCTCGTCAGATCTTGGGAGCTAAGCAGGGCCGACCCTGGCAAGTATTTGTTTTTTTTTCCCTGTCAGTATTTTTTATTTTTAAAAATATGACATACATGGGGGGAATTTCTTTTCCATTCATTTCTTTAACAAACGTGTGCCTAATTTGTCATACATAATGAGACTAGTGATGGTCTCATATCATTAGACTCATGCTGCTTGTAAATAAAAATTTAAAGTGCGAGCGGGGGCGTGGCCTACAAGACACAGGGACGGGGTGGGGGGGAGTCCGAAGAGATCTGTATGCTTTTGACTTACCTTCGGCTTGGAAGCGAAGGAAGGGAAACAATGGCACTCTCAGAAAACCTGGGGAAACGCAGACAGAAAGCAGTGCTGAAGGGAGTAAAAACCATGCAGAACCAAAGAGAATACCTAATAGACATGCATGGTGAAAGCGAGGCAAAGCACCCATGCATAATAGACCAATGCCTGGACCTGGTTTATGCTTCTCCCCCCCCCCCCAAAAAAAGCTGGGAACATCCAATGTAGTTTTCAGCGGCCACATGGTTATCAAATCAAAAATTCAGATCTAAGGATTTCAGTTTGTTCTGCAACAGTCATTATTTGGTCACTCATTTGGTAAAACAGTCTTCTCTGAATTGCATAATGAAATCAAACCTATGTTTGAAGCAATATGCCCAATGATCTCCCTCTGGCTATTTATTAAAACAAAATAAAAGGTAGCTTGACTGTGCTGTTTATAACTTGAAGTTTAGATTATCTTGTGTGGTTTTTTAATTTTATTTTTGTTTTATTGAATAACAAACATACTAAACTATATATAACATTGCAAGTAAACAGG